GCAAGTTTTTCTTGGTGATTTTTTAAACTTTCCCAGGAGAGAAAGGTAACCACACTGAGTAACACATGTAACAATTCCATACCCAGAGCATTTTTCCCCAATAAAATATAACTTTGCATCACATGCAGTTTAATAGCATGCTTGATGTAAGTCTAGTTTTGGAGGCATTCTCGTTTTTACAAAGCTGACTTGTGTCACTTTTATATCCCATAGCATTTAAAAATGATTTCAAAGGGGAAAAAAATACGCTTTGTGCAACGTGAATAAAACTGATTTCAAAAGAGAGAGACTCTAAAAATAAACTCAGGGCAATTTATGAAACTTGTGAGGAGAAAACGGAGGTAGACCATCACAATATTGGACTTTGGATATGACTGCAGCCTGCCCTGCCTGTTATTGAGAAGGCACCGTCTTTGCTCATTGTTAATGCATCAAATAAATGTTTACTGAGCACTAACTCTGTGCTAAGCCCTCGTCCAACCATAATTCTAACGTCTGCAGTTGTCTTTGGCAGTAAAGGTAAGGAAGGCTAGAAGATTCTAAATAAAATTGTTATTCTTTTACAATGCTTTTCCAAAGAGCCACCCGGAAATCACAACTCTGTACTTCTACCTACTAATACAACTTAAAAAAAAGACTTATAAAAGCAAGACAGGGGTGGTGATATTTACATAAGGAATAGCACTTGTAGATAGGAACAGGATACTGTATTGGTCCTGGTGACTTGTCATGAAGTGGCGATGGAGATTCAGTTCATGGTAACATAGGGGAGACACAGCTACCTTGCATCTCTTGAACTTACTTCTTTTCTGACCTTCTGAAGTTGCCAGGTTCAACTCATTTTCTGCTCACGGTTACACCTGACGCGGATTCCGAGGCAGGCACCAACCGTTCAGCAGAAATCAACTACTTAGCAATTTGCATGGGAATGAAATGAGATGGGACTAACAGCTCTTGGGTGAATTCAACCCCACTAAATCAGATCCATCAAAACAGTATTCTGTTTCACAAGTATATACGTGACTGAGGTCTCACCGCACCACACACAGATGTACTGTTTTTAAAAGACTGGCTGACATATAAATTCAAGAGCCTGGGGGGCAAGTCAAATGACCTAAGGCAGGTGAAATGGCCAAAGGAACATGATAAAAATCTCATACTTGAACCAATAAATGAGTTCGTTATAGGGGCATGTTTTCAAGTTTTTTCTGGCAAGTGTGCGTGAGTGTGTGTGTGTGTGTGTGTGTGCGCGCGCGGGCTGTGACTTCATTCTATGCTCCGTAGCAGGTGTATAATACACCAAAGTTCAGAGCTGCTTCCCAAACTAAAAAGCCAAGTTAATCCATTTCAGCCGTGAATGCCAACAGTATCGAAAACAAAGAGAAAACTGCATTTTTCCCGCCTCTCTGCATAGCCGTGTGAGAAATATCAAATGACTGAAGCCAGCAGCAGCACTGGCACGGGATTTCCGCGCGAGTCCTGGGACCTTCTAGTGCATTGCTAATTAAAAGGCTGCTCTGCTTCTGCTTGCTCCTGAGTTTGTCAAACGCAAACCTCTGCTGATGGGCCGGAAAAGTGTTGTTGAAAATATAAATGGAATGTCATTCTACCCCTGAGAAGCTTCTGGTTTTGCGTGGACCATTTGCTCCACTGGAATGTCAAGGAAGCTATAAGGAGTGCCACCTTGAGTAGAAAAATAAAGATGCTTATTTTTCTTTAGAGCGTTGAAGTACTTACAATATGTTTTTTCTGAACAGCTGAGGTATGGAGTCTAAACTTTCCTATCTGGGCTTGTTCCTTTTCCCTCGCCAATAACCAGCGGAAGGAACCTAGAAGCAAAGCCCAGAGGTGCAATTTCTTTAACAGAATCATTATACCCTCATTCCGTGGAGTTTCCTAGTTTTTGCTCCAACAATCGGATGCTCTCTGGGAACCAGGAGCACCAGACCTTAAGTGCTTTACAGGGAAATGTCGTGTCAGGAGTGCATGCATATAACAGCCTTTCAAAATACTTTCTCAGGTGGCCTATTCCATTCTGCTGAGCATGTTTTAGGGAATGTTTTTTACATCCAGCATACCACCGATGGCTACTTAAAGTGTACGCATTGCTAAATTCAGGGGTGGCTTTGGACAACTGCTGCCTTGACCAGAGTTCTGCATGATACTCCGATAGAGTTATTTCCCAGGGTAAAGACTCCCTTCCCTTTAGAGCTGATGTGTGCAGAGCAGGCACCCGGAGCTGCTCTTCGAGTGAGGGCTGCTGCCAAACTGTTCTGCAGCTAAATTTCTAAGACCCACCAGAGCTCCCGAAAATCCATGCCCGGTACCCAAACTGTAGCGCCCCAAATGCTAGCGTCTTGAGTGGAGAGGAGTACCTATCTGGAATCTTGAGAGTTTTAGGAGATTGTAGATTGAGAATGGAATGAAACCAAAGCATTTCATTGTAATAGTAACACTAACTACAGGGGGAAAAGAGATTTAAAAGTTGGAATGACGGCATCACTGCACAAATTTCGGAAAACATGAGCCCGTGTCCCCCAAACATCTAGCCCATGTGTGATGGTCAGGGGATGCCCTGCCACTCCTTTGGGCACATGGGGGACAGAGTAAGGAAGATGGACAGCCCTGCAGGGAGGGAGCCCCAGAGTTGCCCGGCAGCCTCTTCTCTGTTTTCACAACAGATTTTTTTTTTCCTCAACGCTGAGCCCTTTTCAGGGCCCAGAAATAACATCTCAAAGGTGATTTAAAACCCTGCAACTGCTCCAGGTTGGAATGGCTATGTGACGGGGCGCTTCCCATCTGCGGGAGCAGATTTACAAAATATTAGGATTCATAGTATTATTTAATAAGAGGGATAGCCCTCCAATTTCTTTCAGCTACAGAGCTCGGGGAAGTGGAAAAACATGTCTGGACATGATAATTACGGAGAACTCCCTTGGAGTGGAAAAGAAAATGTAACCCTTAGAGAACATTCTTCAATGGTACCAGGTCTCTCAGTAGAGAAACTCCTCTCTCTCTCTCTCTCTCTCTCTCTCTCTCTCTCTCTCTCTCTCTCTCTCTCTCCCTGACACACACACGCACACGCAGACACACAGACACACTCCAGATGAACCCCCTGCAAAGTGGACACAGCTGGTGAAGGCAAAGGCAGCAGCCAGGCAGGGATCTCAGTTGCGTCTGGCGTGAAGGATGGGGCTCATTTTGCATGCAGTGAGGTACAGCCGCGAGGCGAGGGTGAACGGATGGAAAATCCCACTCTCCAACCCCACATAAATATCTCTTTCCCACGTCTACTTTTCCAGTTGAAAGGCTCCTATAATGAAGCCAGAGGTGACAGCCCAGGGGGGGCTGCTAACCATGGAGATGGCCGTCAGGAGTGTTGTAAAGGGGACCGGCGCTTCCCCAGGGTCCCGACCAACCCCAGTCCCTCCTCTGGGCTCAGCGACAGTACCCGGAGCCCCAGGGCAGTGCCCTTGCCTACCTCCTTGGCGGGCGTCCCCTCCTTCCCAAGGCCAGCCCACAAGTCCTGGGGAGCCGGCGAAGAAAGCAGCCCAGCCGGCTGAGCTCATTAGCAGCTCTGGCGCTAAAGGAGTGAGGGCTCCTCTCCAGCCTCTTAAAGAGGAAACTCTTGTGGAATCTTCAGGAAAAGGGTGGTAAAGTTGAAAGGACCCTGTCTCCCTCCGGCTCGCTCTATGCTAAGCTCCAGCCTTTCATTGGAGCCGAAGTGAGCAGCTGCCAGCCCGGGGTTCCATTACAGACTAATGTTGTGCGTTTGCAACAATCAACAATTAATGTTGTTTGATTTCTTACATTTAGCAACCCAAGCAAACAGCTGCTCTCTCCGCTCGCGGAGGCACAGGGCTGGTCCTTCGCTCGCCACCGGCTCTGTGCCGACGGGGAAGGGTCCATCATAAGGAAACTTTGAGATTTCGGCCACACTGGGGAGGAGGCGGGGGGAGCTTTGGTCTCGGGGAGGGAAAAGGCGGAGGAAAATGTAGATACCTGTTGGCATCACCGTTGGCGGGGGCAGGTCTTCGCCGTCTCCAGCCTCGGCTAGAGCCCGGGAGACCCGGCGCAGGTCCCCGAGGAACCTGTTACGCAGAGCCCAGGCGAGAGCCCTCTCTTCCTCGGGGTTCTGCGAGGGGTGCGGCCCGCCCCCCAAGGGCTGGCGGGTGGGAGCCGCGAGATGACAGAAAGCGCAGCTGCAGGTTCTGCAGGCGCTGGGAGAGGAGGGGGTGGGGGAACCGAGACGTCCCCGGCTCCGGGGGCCTCGGCGAGCTCAGTGTCGCCGGCTGAGAACGGACGCTGCCGGGGGGTCCTGCCGGGGTGCGGGGCAGCGGCTCGGAGTCTGCAGAGCCGCGGGGCGGCGCGGGATCCCGCAAGTTTGCAGCCGGCGCCGCGCCTCCGGGCTGGAGCAGCCACTTGTGGGAAAGCCTGGCGCGGGGGGTTTGGGGCTGCAGGGTCGCGATCGGCGGCGGCACCGAGGGGTCGCCCTCCCTCTCTGGGCGGGGAGGGATGCGGCCAGCCTGCGAGAGGGCACCCCGGCGCCCCCTTCCCCCGCCGGCGCGCACACGCCTCGTCCTCGGCGGCAGGTGCTCCCCAGCCCCGCGCGGCCCCCGCAGTGAAGGCGCGCGGCCGCCGCTGCGCCCGCCCGGGTCCGGAAGCGGCGGAATTCGCCCGGCGATCGCGAGGAACGAGACCGGCCGGACAACCGGGGGGGACTCAGCCCGCTCGCTCCTCTCCAGGATCTACGCTCACGGCGGTTGGCAAAATACCGTCACGCCACATTCGGAGGCGCCCCCTGGGCTGCGCATCTCGGGGAAGGAGACGCGGCTCAGCTCGGCGCCTGGGCTGGGCACCCGCATCCAGCATCGGAGCGGAAGGAGCGCGCAAGGTGTCCAAGGTGTGGGAAGGGGCCGGGGCATTCCTAAAAGAAGCGTCCCTCCTGGATCCTCGGGGCGTGGAGGGGAAAATAAAAGGGGGGGGGGGTGGTTACTTACTTGGGCTGGCTCCGCGCTGGCGAATGTCAAGCCGCTTGGTTCACAAATGGCTGGAGGGACTCGGGGTCGGCTCCCGAGGGCGGCGAGTGGCGAGCAGTCCCCGCGCGCTGGGCAGGCGCCTCCGGATCCCGTTCATGCCGGTGGGAGCCGCGGGGCGGGCGCGCTGGGCTCCGGGTGTCCGCGGCCCCAAGTGCGGCGGCCGGGCGGGCGCTCCCGTCTGTGCGCCAAGCCGCCCACCGGCCGCGGCGGCGGAGCTGCCAGGAGGCAGGGAGGTGCCCGAGCAATCCACGGATTCGGGGCTGAGCGCTCCGGCGTGCGAGCCCGCCCGCCTGCCAAATGCAACTGTGAAGTGATGTGGAAAAGTGAGCCGGGTGCCTCCCCTGATGGATCTCATTGGGCAGCGCGCGGAGGCAGGTCTGCCACTTGGAAATTCGTGGAAGCGGCCCCCCTCCCCGCCCCCTCCCCGCCCGCCCCCTGCGCTGGCGCGCGCGGGCTCCCCGGCTCCCCCCCCTTCCCAAGTGGGCACCCAACTTTGAGCTCCTCGCCCCCGAGCGCGCCCCGCGCGCCTCCGCCTCCGGAGGTGGCGGCGGGCGGAGAGGCGCCCTTCCGTGCGGGGCGCGCAGCCCGCGGAGGACCGCGCTGGCGGGTAGGAGGGCCGGCGGACGCTAAAGGAGGCGGAGGAGGTACCCGCGAGCTCGCTCTCTCCAGGCTTACCGGAGTTCTGCGGCTGGCGGTCGCTCGGGAAGCGTCTCCTTGGCCCACAGCTGCTTTCCCTGGGAGGAGGAGGGCGCACGGGGCAATGGGGTGCGCGCGCGTGGGCAGCCCACCTCCTCGTAATTCCAAGAGCCTCTTGTGGACAGAGGGGTGTGTTTGTAAGACCGCTGCCTTCTACCCAGACAATATGGGTTTAGAGGTTGCGTTGGGTGGTCCTGTGGGGGGAGCGCATTCCTCATACCCTTCGCTTCTACTCCTTTGGGGAGCTGAGATGAGGGAGAGCAGCAGGGTGTGCAATAAGATGTGAAAAGGAGAGCAGATCTTGCTTGGCTATAAAGGGGGGCGTTGCTAAAGGTCTTCTCAATGTGTCCTGGCCTCCAGATCTCTGCTTAGGCGCCATGCATTCAGCCCCCCACAGCTTCCACCAAGGCCCCACCCCCACCCCCCCACCCCCGTCTCCACCAAGAGATGCCCTGTCTGCGGGCCCTTCGAGGCCTCTGGTGGAGTCCACTCTGATCTTGAGAAAGGGCCACCTGCAGTAGAGCCAGTGTAAGAAGAGGGGGTCATGAACTAGGAAGTCCAGTTTCTTTCTCATCACGGAGGCTAACACATAGAAATCCATCATCCACTGTGATCATCTTTTAATAAAACTGTTGAAACATAGGATGCATTAATTCTTACTTTTTTGTGTAACTCCCTCCATAGAGCAGCTCGATTTAGTCCATCCCCTGTGCACTAGGAGGGGGGGCGTGGCTAAAGGTCTTCTCCATGTGTCCTGGCCTCCAGATCTCCGCTTAAGCACCATGCTTTCAGCCCCCCAGCTTCCACCAAGCCCCCCCCCCAAAGTGAGCTCCGAGGAAGGCTTTTGCCATCTGGGGACAGAGCTCAAACAGATGGAGAAAAGAGTGCAAAGGACCAGACGCAGGGTCTATAGAGCTTGCACTGTCTGACTCAAATGAATGAGAGCGAGGGAGCAGCATGAGAACACAGACACGGGATGCTTATAATATAGATGCAGATTTGACAGTGTGTGTGTGTGTGTGTGTGCGCCGCATCTAGCATCCCATCGTGAAATGTTGAGAAGAACATTGACTGTAGGTCTAATATCTGTCTGTTTCGCATTCTAGCCGTCATGGGCAAGACACTGCTATTTCAGAGAGGAAGAACTGAGGAGAGCCAGGAGGTACCTGCCACCAGCACCAGGCAGTCACTATGTAACTGTTCTTTGCTCAGACTCTGTGTGCTAACAGGGGATTCTGGGCTTGGCTGATTCTGTCTTGAAAAAAATAAAATAAAAAAGGAACAGCGGTCGCACCTCAGTCACAATATGACTTCTGCTGAGCAGGCAGCCCCAAGTGGACAAAGAGATCCCACCTTGGGTTGGATTTCATTTTCACGTTAAACAAATGGTCTGAACCTTCCCTCGGGGTGCCTTCTTACGTCAGTGAGAACTAAAGAAAAGCTTGCATTCCTGAAGGCTGGGGACTGTCACAATCTGGAATAGCAAACTGCCCCTAAAAGGAAGCCAGAATGGTAGAGATAGACATGATTGCAAATCTCATTTTCTTAAAGGCAAAGCAACACTGTTTGGACAGAGTGAAGAGAGTGAGAATCCAATGGCTTTTGGCACCTGGGGTTAGGATGAAGGTGGATTGACTCACCTTGTCCACATTCACTCCCAGGGCAGCTATAGCCATTGTCATTGGATCTTGGCCAAATGGAATTGACGGTAGCCCTCTCTCCACTGTTCATCTCCGCTCCAAGCGCTGCAGTAGGAGTTTCCTACAGATTTCCTCCTGATTCTTCAGAGAGGTCTGGGTGATGAAGCAGTATGAAAGAGGATTAGGATAATGTTATAAAGCCCTAGAAAGATATTTCTAAAAGAATCAGGGATGCCGAAAGACAAGGCATTTGCCTCTCTCACAATTCCACCCACTCTTAATAGGATGCTAGTAATGTCACAGTGGTGAGAGCCTAATCCCTTAAGGAAGTGTTTTCCAGTTAACATCCTTTCCAGGGTTGGTTACAGACTTCCAGCAGGAAGAAGGGTGTGTTACAGAGGCTTTGGGGAATGGGCACTGACATTGCATGAGTTATGGAGCATTTAGGGAAGGGAGGGGGTAATAACTGATAGGGCAGGAGTATAATCAGAGAAGGGATGGGGGGAGGGGGGTAGAGAGGACTACATTCAGACTACCCATGCACAGAGTGGGATGAGACAGGGGTTCTCCCGCCTGGGTTTTGGTGACGAACAGACAATTTTGCAGAGGAATCCACAGCAAATGAATAAGATGGAGAGAGAATCCATGTAGTAAAAGACATTTTACTTTTTCACTGTGGGTGGGACTTTTGATTTTGGCTGAGGGATACAGTAAACCAAATGTCTGGCTATTTGGAGAGTAAGGAGTCACATGGCTTCCAGGAAGCGGCGCCCTGGAAGGTGTTAAAAAGCTAGGAAGACGCCAACTTCTATAGGTTGAGCAGGGACTGATGGTAGAAGCGAACGTATCGATTATTTGCTGCATTAAATTTAAAGTTATCTTTTTTTCATTCTTCAGTGTATACATCCTTCAAAACTAAAACCATCTAACTAAAAAATTCCCACAACAAAATGTATTTGCTGTTGTATGGTTATTGGGAACTTTAAGATTGATTAGTTGCTTTTAAATGTAGATTAACTCATTCATTCATTCATTCATTCATTCACTGAATGCCTTCTAAGGGTAAAAAGTTGAGGAGTTTGGATTCTGCGAATGAAGGGATTTCATGTGATATTTGCCAAGGGTATTTGAAAATAAGAGTTAAAATAAAAACCTTAAGAATCTAAACTATGAAGATGGCTAAAACATAAGTGTTACACCAATGAATATGTACTCTTTTCCAGAAATTAACAGTTCTTTTTTTCACACTTTATGTTACATAATCCTAATGAAGAAATCTAACAACCACCATGTCTATTTTCTTGGGTGGGGGGTGGGGTGGGGGCGTGGGGAGTAAGCATTATATAACAACTTGTGCATTAGGCAAAAGAAACTTTAAAATTTTATTTTCAATTCCAATACTGGAGCATAAATTATAGGGATAAAAAATTAGGAAAGCAGTTTAAAGAAGTCTGGCAATGTTTAAGTAAATTTAGGAGCTTTTTTTTTTTTTAAGAGTTTTTTTTAAACCCCGTACCCTCTCCTCCCACCAAAATCATGAAAATATATGATGGTGCTCAAGTTACATGAATGTGAGCGATCATGGTGGCTGTCAAGCTGTGGGCTCTGGACCAGGTTCCGCCTCTCTATTCTCAGGGGATTGGCTAGAAATTGAAATTCTCATGCCTTGAACTGGGGCGGGGCTCAGAAATCTGGGTTATTCATAAATGACCCAGGGGATTCTCTGGCTCAAGTTTAAGAACTACTACCTTAGGTATTATTTTTTCTTTTCCTTCTCTTTTTCAGGTGATATCTATCTATATATCTATGAGAAAAATACATTCGTGCCCTGGGGGCGGGGGGGAAGGTGGGGGAGTCCCTCAGTCGGGTCTGTGCCCCCTTACAGTCCGGGAGCCCTCCAGTGATGTCTGATTGCCACTGCGCTCACCAGCCATTAGCCCGGCATATGGTTGAGCGCATTCCCCCTGTAGGAGCGCACTGACCACCAGGGGGCAGCTCCTGCATTGAGCGTCTGCCCCCTGGTGGTCAGTGTGCGTCATAGGGAACAGTCATTCCTCCATTCAGTCGATTTGCATATTACCCTTTTATTATATAGGATTTATTGTTTTTGTCCTGGAATATTCTGAAATAAAATACTATCTTTAATAAAAAAGAAAAGCATATGCACACTAAACTTATCTTGTGATTACTTCACCAATTTTATTACGGGATTTGAAAACTAAACTGATTCTTGAGAAGTGGTTACGGCTTCCTGGGCTGAAATCACCAGTGAGCTTGCCATTCTGAGTTGTGTTTCTCTACATCTCTTGGCTGCGGGTTGTACCTGTCCCTGAAATTAGGGCCTGGATCTCTTAATATTGACTGTAATTACTAATCTTGAGCTGGCCATTATATTTTCAGTAAATGGAGGTGTAAACTCTTTTGTGAAAACCACATCTGTGCTGAGAGCCTTTTGGAGAGGTTTTCAAAATGGCGTTATCTCCCATCTTCCCAGGTGCTGGGAAAGAGATAAGCTCCAATTCAGCTTCTGAACCGACACTGAGGCGTGCAGTGGGGTGGGCAGTAGATATATTTAAGGGAACTGGAACAAAGCTATCAAATATGCCAGCCCACTGGTTTATTTTGTGGACTACCCACTTAGCATTTTCTTTTTCTTTCTTTTTCTGAAAGAGAAGAGCAACTTGATTAAAATTCCAGACCCTTCTTGGTTTAACATGGGAGCCATGAAGAGGGAAAAGAAATTAAAATAGTTCAGGGTACATGCCTGGGTTGCAGACTTGACCCCCAGTGGGGGGGTGGTGTAGGAGGCAGCCGATAAATGACTCTCATCATTGATGTTTCTATCTCTCTCCCTTCCTTTCTGAAATGAATATATATATATATATATATATATATATATATATATATATATGAGGAATAAAGGGGAACCTTTCTTCCCACACCCTGAAATACTACACGTTTCATCTATCAGATTGTATTCAATATTAAAACATAATAGCGACATGTAATTGATCGAAGTCTGATTTGGAAGATGGCCAGCATTTGCAGTTTGC